GAATGGTTGTGGAAGCAAAATTTTAAATATTGAACCTTTCGATGTTTCCCAAAACTCTGTCAAATACAAGAATTAGAGTAAGTGTCAATAGCCTTTTTTTCCTTAGCTTTCAAGATTTTAACCTACATTTCTACTACTTTAAGGGCCCCTTTGAATCATAGAAATAGAAAAACGGAGGAATAGGTAAAACGTAGAATTCTTGTAGTAATGCAACTGTAAAAACAGATGATTGCAAAACATAGAAAAGTTATATTACTAGCCCTTTGAATAGGTATAGGAATTTCACAGGAAAAAGAGTGTCAGGAAGTGTATTAATACATGTCACTTTGGTCTTATCCATAATATCACAATGTACATTTTCTTCTAAAAGAACAACAATGATGCATAGATCTGTCATTTACCTCGATCCTACGCACACATGATGGAAAAAAGAAGTTAGGGTGGATGTTTTCTTTTCCTATGTTTTTCATGTGAAATGAGTTCCAAAGAAAAATTTCCTCTAACTTTCCTATGCCCTAATCCTGTGAATCAAAGACTGCTACAGTGCCCAATCCTAAATCCTACATTTTCCCCATAAAATTTCTATGAATCAAATGAGGCCAAGAATATAGCCATCGTCCTTCAGTCCCCTCTCGTAGTCTCATCGCGCAAAGAGGTCGTCCACTCGTCCTTGAGCAAGCACCGCAGATGTTCTCAATCCACCTATCCAATCAACCTTCTTAGCCTGTGCTCTGGGTCACATCGCTCCTTATTGGGCCCAAATATTTGGGACTATGCCTCGATTACACGCTGGGCCAGAATTTGACAACCGGATTACATGTCATTATGGGCTTAGATACGGCTTTGTTGGAAAGCCCATTTGTAGGATGTGTAATTGGGCCGTTGGCTAGACTCCACGGCCCAGTTAAAATTTCCCGAAGTGAATATTTTCAGTGGCTCTGTAAGACTGTTTAACGTCCGTTTGTGCATGTGGGTTAACCATGTGATGTCAAAATCTGAAGGATAAGTCTATAATGAATTCCTCAGCTATTGCTCTTGGTCAAATCGTTTCCCTCAACCGCAAAACTAGGTATAATATCTCCTCCATCTTCTAAAACCGATACAAATTGACTCCTTCAGTGGTTTGAAAAGCGATTCCTGCTGATGTATCAGTTTGACCACGATTGACTCACTAAGTCGACATGTCGGACAAACTAAAAAAATTGTAGTGGGACCCCATGTCAACCCCTTCCTCTCCTCCCATCTTCTTCGTGCGCCGCATCGTTTGCGCTGATGACGCCCTTGTTGCGGTGCTGTTGCCGCGCTGCTTCCGCTGGATAGTGGCCTACGCCCCGGCCCCTCCTTGCTCGGCGCGTTGCTGCTGCCACACTCATTGCGCCATTGCGGCCACCGGCCTCTGCCCCCCATCCTTATCGGGCTACTGTTGTTGCCGCACTTTTGTCGCGCTGCTGCTAGCCTCGGCCTCCATCCCTGCAGTGATGGAGGCTCGGGACCGGTGTGAGGAGGTTGGTTCCTAGATCCAGGGGTTAAAGCGACTCTTCCCATGTCTCGTAGTCGCAAAGACGCCAGCGGCGGTGGCACTCTAGCGAGTTCAAGTAGGGGCGTGGTGGCCTGGGAGTTCGAGGAGGACCACAGAGGAGCTCGATGAGGTGGCGATTAGGTGCAAAGGTGCGCGTGGTGGTGACACGTTGTGCGGCTGGTGGCCGAGAAGATCAGTGGCGGTGAGAGGCAGCATCAACAACAGTATGGAGGTAGAAATTGAGGAGTTTTGGTGTACTTGGGACATGGATTTTGTTCTTTCCTTTAATTTGAACAGGGAGTGTTGGTGGGGGCAAATTTTGAGGTTTGGACGCTGACGAGTCTAGATTGGGCTTCGGCTTCTTACCTCCGGCAGCGACGATTAGCGTGGCTGAGGGCAGGGCAGCGTTAGGGAGCAAGGAGCGCATGTGGTGACGTTTCCGTTTATTGTTGGCGGTGATTGACGAGGCGCCCGAAGAGGGAGAGCAGCGGTGAGGGCAAGAGAGCGGTAGAGGAGAGCTCGAGTATGCTGGCACATTTGGGAAAAAGAGAGGGGGGGAACAAGAGTGAGCTGATATGTGGGTTCTATAGTTTTTTTTTTTTCACTTACATGTAGTCCCGTGTTTTTATGTCAGTGAGTAAACCACGATCAACATGCCACATTAGTAGGAACCGCTTTCTAAACCAACAAAAGATTTGATGTGCACTGGTTTTTGAAGTTTGAGGATGCGATATATCCGGTTTTCCGGTGAGGAATGCGATTCAAATAAGGGCAATAGTTTGAGGGAAGAAAATAGACATGTTCTAACTCTCAAATCGATCCACCGTGGCTTGGGCTTGCCGCTTGATCCGACTCACGTTTTGGGCCTTCTTCCCTTCGCTGTTATGGGCTCTGTACAAGGACCAGTTGCCTGTGTTAAGCGAGACGAGACATGCCGAGTAGCATGGAGCCATGGACTATCTATAAACGTGTCGACAAATTTTCTTTTAAAAGTATGTCAAATATAAATATATTTTTTTCTGAGAAACAGTACAATACAAACACAGACGCTAACAACACGCACACACTCATCCCTTCGTAATATAATTATATTGTAATGTGTATATAATTTATACATAATTTTAAAAAACGATCTCCTAAGATTTGCAATTGCTGTGATTTTTTTTTCTTTCCACTTGCACGAATTTTAGAGCAAATCTAATAACCAAAATTATATGAAAGTTGCATATAAATTATGTTGTAGTTACAAATCAATTATTCTCTCCGTCTCAAAATATAACAACTTTCAGCCTCTAGAATGTCCTAAAATATAACAACTTTTACCAATATTTTTTTATCAACCAATCACAATCCTCCACCATTTAATTTTTCTATCTATCTTATCCAATCATAACCCTCCCTATTTAATTCTACATATTTTTAATAACCGTGTCCAACTCTAAAAATGATTATATTTTGAAAACAGGGTTTGAGATTTTTTTTTATATAAAAGAATTGTCGGCAAATCGGAATAGCCTTGTTGATCAGCTCGTAACACAAAACGATGGGCTGTCTCCTCTTCGTCTCTGATCCTGTGAATTTATGGGCCCGGTCAGGACTGACTGATCAGACTTTGACCTGTCTCTCCCTCTCCTCTCCTTGCAACTTGCAAGCTGTGCAAACTATTCACAGCATTCATGTGTTTCAGAGGCTGGAAAAAACTTGGCAGCCAAGTTTGGTGCTCACGTGCCACGTACTACTCACGTCCCCATGGTTTCAGGCTTTCCAGCCTCAGCCTTTGGCATTACACCGGCAAGTTCACTGAACAATGAACATGGACCATTTTCTTTAATTTCCGATTTCAATTCACCCACCAAAAAAATCAGTTCGCAATTAAATCCCTCGCCTAAAGAACAGCACGCGTCCACACTCCACACAATACGCATGCACAACAACCCGCGCTCACGCTCCCCCTTCCCTTGCCGTTTAAAGCATAGCAATGCGGCCAATGCACATACGCTAGATACCCGTCCAGGGTAGAGCCGTCTCCTAGTTACGTCCAGATACAATGAACCAATTAGGTAGGAACTCGAACTACTCCTATACTTATCTAATACTCCTCCTTAATTACCTTTTCTCGCTTGCTCACTAATCGCTGATCTAATCACGGGCCTCACGTGGACGCGATCAAATTCAATAACCGTGGAGTAAGTAGCTCGTACGCACTAGGCGGCGCTCCTAGAATTTTTTTTTAACCTTTTTAATTCTTAATTTTAAAAATAAATCTTTTAAAGCTTATTTTCTTAAGCTTAATCTTTTGATCACATCAATCCGCATGTCGTGCAAAATAACACTGACATGTTACATAACGGATGTGATAGTTTTGTCTTCACATGTCAACCAGGATGGCGTAACCAAATAACACTACCACATTGTGTTGTTTTATTACGTCGGTATCTTGAAAATAAGTTTTAAAAATACTTTTTTCCCTAAAATTTATATAAAATTAAAAGATTAATAAAAAAATCGTGCTGCTAGGGGACATGACGTCACCGCCTACGAAGGCCCCACCCGCCAGCGCGGCGCACACATGGGGGAGTGGTGGGGCCCAAGACTTCGCGATCGCGCGAGTACGCGTCCACGTGGGGCGGCTGGCCCACCTGGCCGTCATGTAGTACTCCGCCGCCGTGGACCCGGTCTTCCTACACCCCAGGGATGATAACGAAGAATATGCTCCCCCTTGCCTTTGCCACCGTGTCATGTAGCCGTATCACACGACACGATGTGTCCACGCATGCATCCTGTTTTATTCGATTTTTTTTATATCTATAGTGAAACAAAAGAGGAAAAAAGAAAAGAAAGGGGAAAAGATGCAGGAAGCTTCGGAGGCAAGGTTTGCTGCTATAGCTGTGGATGCTGCATGGCACTTAAGTTGTATTTATGTGTGTGTACAGTCACCAGTATTTGTATTTCTTTTTGCCGATTTTTGGCCGCATTATTATTATCCTGTGAGCTGAAAAGATATATATGATTCCTCCTCCTCCTCCAGGTATAACCTGGATTAATAACGTGGATATTACGATAAGAACATGGCGTAGTACGAGCTAGTATCTTGGTGGATTTTACGTATAATTTGTGTACGTAATTATAACATTCAATACTTACTATCCCTAATTTGTGTACTACTCGTGATCGATCCATTTGGCCATTAATTACAGCTGGGATGGATAATCATCGACGACTCAAAGTCTTTGACCGTCAAAAAATAGAGGAGTTTTGATTTACCAACCAACCTAATTACCACGAGTCATTAGTCAATTAGTAGATCAAAAAAATTAGTGAACTGTTTGCGAACAAAGCCAGCCACGTAATGGCGTGAGCCGGAGTAGCCTATAGCCTGCTTGGTTAAGGACAAAAGAGGGGCTACCTGCAGGTGGGCCCCATCGCCGCTGGTGCGGGCCCCACTCGCCACCGCGCGTGCGGGCCTATATATTCGGGCCCAGGTCGTCCCATGCACCATAACCGTTTGCTCCACCACTAGTCTTTCTCTCCTCTCGTCGCCAAGCGAAGCGAGACAGTCTCGTGCGCCTCCGGCTTTCCTCTCCGACGGCGACGCGCCGACGTACGACGCCGTGGACGAGCAGCAGCGCTGTGGATCGACGAGCGGCGATGGCGAAGGCGCGGAAGCAGCAGCCGCAGGGCCCGTTCGCCGGCGGGGCCGCCGCCGGGGAGAGGTCGTTCCTCGGGTTCCAGTACCACCACCACCACCGCGGCGGCTCCGTGGCGCCGGCCTACGGCGACGACGACGACCTCCCCGATTTGGCGGAGGCTGATGTCTGGTACGCGCCGTCGTCGGAGGGGGGCGCGGATCATCGAGGCGGCGGCGGCGGCGGAGGGGGAGGGGGAGGGCTGGAAATCGGCGGCGGCGGCTGGGGCGGAGGGAAGCACAAGGTGGGCGGGCTGAGCCGGGCGTTCGCGGACGGGCGGCAGGTGGCGGCGTCGGCGCCGGTGCAGGTGCCCGCGTGGCCCGGCCGCTACGCCGACCCCGACCAGGCGGCGTTCGCGGAGGAGGAGAAGCGCCGCGAGGAGGAGGACGACGCCGGCGACGGCGACGGCGACGGGTGGGTGCCGCCGCACGTGTACCTGGCGCGGCGGCAGGCGAGGTCGTCGGTGGTGGAGGGCGTCGGACGAACACTCAAGGGGCGCGACGCCTCCCGCGTCCGCGACGCCGTCTGGAGCCGAACCGGCTTCGACGGCTGAGCCAGATTAAACCGGGGAGACAAGCCAATTAGGATTTAATTTCTTCTCTTCTTCGATTTTTCCCCCTCTCCTAATTTTCTTCCTCTTAAATTTTTGTGAAAAAATTTTGTAATATGGTTTAAATTTTGCTCTCTCGTTTTATCTTCTCATCAAGTTAATGAGAAAAGAGGAAAAGCGTGTGGTATGTAGCATAGTGCATTGGTTGAATAATCTTCTTCTTTCTCTCTTTCTTGTTGATTGGGTGGTGGTTGGGCAGCTTCAACCAAAGATGGTTGGAATCTGATTATTATTCTTTTGTTAATTACTCTACTATAATATGTATGGACTAAAAATAATTGAGGAACAGGCCATCGATCTTATGGCAAGAATAAACAACTCGGATGTACTTCAGCTTATGATTATGTCCACAGATGGATCATATGCTAAAGGGGCATCTTTTCATCTCTTGTTTGAGATTCCTATCAGGCGATGAGATATTATGAAATTCGAATCAAATATTAAAGTGAGACGAGTTCAAAAACAATCATGTAAACTATACGTCAATTCAATTGTTTAAACCTTCATATAGAGCGATCAGTATAATATCCAAACCCAGAGTAGCCGCTACGAAACGCGTTTTAGTCCCCCGTGCTGGCTGAATTAATTAATTAATTTTGTTTTTTTAGTTACCGCCTCCGTGCTGTAGTTTTGCACTCTTTATATCATATAAAGACTATAGTTTCACACTGTTTATAACCAACGTTTGACTATCTACCTTATTTTTTTTAAAAAATATGTTTAGTATTTTTATTATTATTAAATAATAAAAATATAAATAATACTTTGTGTGTGACTATTTTTTAAAATATTTTACACGAAAATCGACAGCGGCACTTATAATAAAACGGGGTAGTACATGACATATATACACGTACACCTTCATACACACAAATCCGTAAATATAGTATTTTAACATACGTTTAAAGAGATAAAAACCAGCGATAGCGAGACACATATATGATCTTACTAAAATCCAATTGAAAACCTTAAGGTGTGTAAAATTTGTGAGCACTAATATTTATATCCTCGTGAATGGAGTCGTGTACCCATAATTCTCATACTCCCTCTGTCCAAATATAAATAGTTTTAAAGGGATGTGACACATATTAATACTATGTATCTGGATATACTTCTATCCAGATTCATATTACTATGATATATTAAATCTTTCCAAAATCTCTCATATTTTAGTATGGAGGGAGCTTCACACTACCTATGCTTCTCAATTTAATTAATTAATTGGTCACCCATGCTAAAGAGACATCTAGCTAGCTTGCCCATCTGAATAAAATAATGCAACCTAACAATTCAGCACATGTTGTATTTCAGAGCAAATTTTTATATTGTGCGTGATGGAGCATAGAAGTAAGTGAAAAAGGCTGCGAGAGGGATGATCTACCAAGCGTGCGTGAGCTTGTAGTAGTAAAGAGAATAAAAATTGGGGAAGTGGATTATTCTAGTCGGAGGAGAGGAACATTCCCTTGGGCGCATGCATGCGTGCGTGAATGTTTCTCCTGCACATGCTTTCCTGGAACGTGCCTGTGCAAAATTCTACTTTTATTTTGCTCTATTTGTGTTATTATTGTATATGAACTGTGGGCATCCATAATGGGAGATGATAGAGGCAGAGAGAATATGTTATTTTGGTCAGGTAGATTATAGTAGTAGTAGTGGTAGAGATGGTGATGATGAGATCAGGAGAGAGATGGGAGTGTTCGCTGAAGAATATGCAAAGGTACCATGTGCTGAATTGATCTTTTGTTGGAAATGGACTTTGCTTGTCCACAACAGTGGGTTTGCTTGCATTGCTTGATTTTGTCAAGGATGACTTGTCTCCAGGTGAGAATCGTTATATTAACTCGAGAAGAGTGGCCCTTCGATCTTCACGTTGATGGATAGAGAAGTATTCTATGAGATTTTTGGATGTTCGGTCGTTAATACATAACAAAATACATTTCTACAACATACAAAAAAAGAGAGGATAAATTTAGAGGAAAAATTCCCGCGTTCCAAACAGGTTGTTAACCGTGCATGTCAACACAAAGGCTGTACTAGTACCAGCAACACTACTCCACTTTTGCAGTTGAGCCTTGGCTAAGCGCAGGTAGCGCGCTACTCCAGCTAGCTAGGTTGGTTGCGTCTGCGTTGCGTTGCGCCCCTAGAATTGATCCAGATCCGCCAATGCAGCATGTTACATCGGCAGAAGGAGATAAGTGGAGTAGTGGATGGACGTGGACACGGAATCAGCAGCAGCAGCCAGCAGCTGGCCCGCGCGCGCCTGGCTACATACGCTCGCCGCCACAGAAGCAAAGCAAAGGCGAAGCCAAAGCCGGAGAGTGCAACAGCATGCATTGGCTGCGAGCGACCTCATGAGCTGAGCTTTGCGTCACCCGCGTTCCCACACCTATGGACTATGCAGCTAGGTAATCCCTCTGTGTTTTAATGTATAACTCTGCTGATTTTTTAGCAATATTTGATCATTTATTTTATTTAAAATTTTTATGTAAATATGAAAATATTTATGTTATACTTAAAGAACATTTGATGATAAATCAAGTCATAGTAAATAAAATGATAATTACTTTTGAATAAGACAATAAAATAATATGGAGGTAGTAGTACGTGCCAATGCGGGGGGCGGGGCCCGCCTACTTTTGGGCGGAGAGGGACGCGCGGTCGCTTGGCCTGGCGTGCGAGCGGGCGATCGATCGACAGCGCAGCGCCGGTGCGTGAACCTGCCGACGGGACGACGCGTGCCGTGGTGGGGGTATACGTGTGTGTGTTCGACCACCGGCGGCGGTCCAGCCGCCGACAGAGACGTACGGGGGACCTCCCGCGCGCGGTCACCACCGGCGGGTGCCGGGTGGGATATACCGCGGCTGCTGCACGCAGCTGTCGTCGTCATGTGTGTCCATCTGCTGCTTTGGGGCGTTGCGAGGCAGGCAGGATTAAGGGAGAGTCCGATCTGCCCGTCCACGTCACTGCGCAGATTGAATAGACTAGACCAGAGGTGAGTAAGAGCAAGGCTAATAATACAACCAACTTATTAGTTATAATAAGGTTCTTTGTAGCCTTTTGCAGCCTTCTCTTAGCACATCCATATAATAGTTAACTCTTTATAATTAATATATGACCTACTTGTCTCTCTCCCAGAGTTTCTTGGTTCTCGTGTTCAAGCCGGCTGTAAATATGTAAGTTTCTCTTATCTCTCTCCTCTTTTCTCTCCTCCATTTCAGCATTTAGTCGGCTTATAGCCTAGTATTATACTTGCTCTAAGAGCACCTCTCCGGTCATTGGTGGAACCAAGATTCATCCAAGATTAAAACTCAATTAATGTATTTCAAATTCAACCTTTTCAAATACAAAATATAAAAAGGCAATTGCAAATTTGCCACTGCTTTGAATTATTATTGTAAGATTGTCACTAGAAAATTGTAAAAATTCCACTAGGACGCATCCTTGCAAAACTGAAAAAAACGGTGGCAAATTTATAAATGCCCCAATATAAAAATAACAAATTTAACTATGAAGAGAACGTATAATTCGCAACCAAAATTATTATTTTTGTTTTTCCAATTTGAATTTGTATATTTATAAAGTTATCACGTATTGATGATCTATCTTATTTGATTTCTTCAAAAGATTCTATAACTTTTTATACGATATGTATAAAATAAAAAGATATTCTCTCGTGAGATAAAAATCGATCTCCAATCTATGTTTTACACTTACATTCCTGTCAGAATTCTATATTTTTTTATTCATCTATTTTTTTATTCCTTTGAGTATTTTTTTTATTCATCTATTTTTTCATTCCTTTGATTCAAAAGGGGCACTAAATATACTGTGCATAATGCATCACGCTCGGGCTCTCAGCCCGGCCGGTGATTTTTTTTTTCCCCAGATTTGGCTGTATGTGTTTGTGAATCAGGGTAATTGCCGGGAGATTTCTGCTCTGCTTCGAGCAGGAGATGTTTCGTGCATTATCAATGTGCTTGCAGCGCGGGGGAATAAAATTCCCCGTTTGTCTATGTTCCACAAGATGCATCCATCGGCGCTACTTAGGCCCCATTTGATTCGTAGAAAAAGTTTAAAAAATTTGAAGGATTTTAATCATATGGAAAAAAATTCCTATGAAAGCCTTTGTTACAAAGGATTGAATCCTATACTATCCTTTAAAATTCCTATGGAATGGTTAATCTTATAGATATTTTAGAGGAAAGTTAGCAAGAGGTCCAACCTCTTGGAAAAATTCCTTTGAGTCTATCTCTCTCATCCGATTCCTGCGTTTTTCCTGTGGTCCAATCAAACGGTCATTCATGTGTTTTTCCTGTATTTTCCAATCCTCTGTTTTACACCTGTATTCCTGTCAGAATCCTACATTTTTCCTATTCCTCCGTTTTTTCCATTTCTGTGGTTCAAAGGGGCCCTTATTTTTAACAATTAAATTATTCTATACTCCGTCCATCCTAATAGAAACAATTTCTGGAAATTAATTTGAATAAGTATTTATCCATATTCAAGTCTTTTCTAGAACAGAGGATGTATGCTAGTAGTACAGTTGTTTTACCAATAATAAGTAGGTAAGCAAAAAAAAAAAAGAAATCACCGTGCCAACGTCACCAATCCAATTTAAACTAGATTAAAACTTTCAAATAAAATAATTATAAGGATTGCACCCGATCGTTTCGCTTATTCTCATACTTATATGCTAAAATTTAGTTTTTAAAACTTAATTTTAAAGTTGATTTTGTGATTTTCTCATCATAACTTATTTTATAATATTTATTTTTGAATCGCTAAAAACACACACACATATATATATATAACAATTTTATCCATAAATATATTTATTGTTAATAAACTATACGGATATAAAAATAGATAAATATAAACAGAAGCCAGATAATAATGGAGCCACACGAGATAGGCCGTGTTTATTTACAAAATTTTTCTTCAAACTTCCGACTTTTTTATCACATTAAAACTTTCTTACACACACAAACTCTCAACTTTTCCGTCACATCGTTCCAATTTCAACCAAACTTCTAATTTTGGTGTGACACAGGCATAGTAGTAAATACAAGACGAAAGGGACCAAAAGGTTTTAGGGGATTCCAAAAGGTTTTAGGGGATTCCAAGCTAGGTCCAATAATATAAAGTCGTCCTACCTGATTGAGCTTGTGAAACTAACGTCCTACACATGGCCCCAGTCAGGGCCGTTCATCTGTTCTCCTACATGCGGTTTTATGCACATCACGGGCATTTTATATTTTTTGCTTGCGCCCCCCGTGACGCATGAGACTAAAGGTGACGTGATTTGCTGATGGTGACAGTGGAGGAAAAAGTGGGAAAA